TAATACTATTTACTTAAAAGGACTAATAGGCGCGCCGTTATCATCGCGTTTAAAATGCTTATAACGCCGACAATTCATGCGCTCGTTTGTAGTCATTCCTAACCAAACGACCTGTTTATACAACATAAGGAATGTATAATTAATTTCATACAGAATTTAATGGGAATCTAATAAAATATAAATCACTTGATAGAGTTGACACCAAACCAAACAGAAAACCCAAATACTATGAACGGCGGCGTTGAGGGCACACCATGTAATCCATCCGTTATAAGTCCACGCGTTGGCTATAAATGTCCAAACATTGGTGTCATCACCAAAATGGATGTGATGTTCGTAATCTGAAGCCAAAAATATGTTAACTTCTGATGGCAAACAGTATCATCAAAATAACTCAATTCTCACATAAATAGGTGCCGTAGAGAAACCATACAATCACTAAATACAGTGAAATGAGATACCATATGAAGTACTTATGATTGAGAGCACCCACACAGTTGGCGACCCACGGGCAGTGGTGGTCAAAACGGGCCACACATTGGTTACAGATTGAGCAGTGCTTTGATCGCAAAGGTTTTCGTATTAAACAAGTGCTGCAAAACCACTGCGGGTCAAACCCATCCCTTTCCGCTAACTCTATAATTGTCTGTATATTTCATATAAAATAATTGTCAGAAATATATGACCACAGGTTCACAGGCGTGGAAACTGACTCGATATCGTTGGTCGTGATCTTTAGCCACAACTCCGGGATCACAACTACACGTCCGGTAAAAGCTGTAGAAAAGCAGTGTAGAAGTGGCCACAAATCCAAACAAATTAATAAATCCAAAATCTAAACGAGAGAAATGTGTTTTACAAGAGTTTTAGAAATACACGATTTCATACATTTGTAGAAATATGTAATGAAAGTGACGTAAAGCCAGAATTTGGTCGACAAATAGATACTGATAGGCATTATGTTATACATGCGATCGTCAAACATAAAGCGAACCAAAGCCCACA